ACCAACCAACCAACCAACCAACCAACCAACCAACCAACCAACCAACCCTCTCATACCTTAATGTTGCTAAAACTGCATCAGTATGAGTTTTAGCAACATTACGGTATGAGAGGGTTTGTAAAATAGAACAAACTAAGAAAAACTTTCCTCTGATCTCTAGGACTCATTTAAGCATAGCAAGATGCTGTGTTTTGTTAAAGACCAAAAACCGCAGTACAGTCTCTATGTCACATTTCCACGGTGACACAGAGATGAGACTTTTGCCATCAATAATGATCTCCTCTGAGATATCTGCACTGTGCCCATTACTTTACCTCCTGGCTCACTCCAACTCTAACAATCTGTGACTGAAGTCTCTTTTCACTTCCCTCTTTACCCAGCTTTATTCTGTGAATAAAGTTAAGTGTAAGCGTCCCTTTGCATTTGAGCTTCTTGGCCCCTCAGTTACATCAATATTCCACACTGCTGACCCATAGTTAAATCTGACACCCTCTACGTGCCTGTGCCCACACAAAATTCTCTTTTCCATTTCCTACAGTGGGGTTTGCAAACACTTTCTATAAACAGTAAACATTTTAGGCTCAAACTACTCAACTGTTATAATCACACTATTCCTCCAAAACTGTTCTTATAAAAGTCCCCAAATACTTTCATGTCTGTAAAATCTAGTACATTTTCAATCTTTATTTCATTTGCTCTATAAGCACGTTAGAGTTGGCCAAATAAACACTCCTGGTTGCTTAGAACATTTTATTTTCATTTCCAGGCATTCTACCATCTTAATCCACCCCAACCCCTCAATATCACAACTATTTTTCCTAATTTTCTTTGCTGATGTTTCTTCTCTCTAGGACTTAGTTCTTACATCTTTTTTCTTCTGCATCCTCAATTATTTTCTTGGTATTTCATTTAACACATGGCTTTAAATACAATCCACATACTACAGCTGGGCCACTTATCCGAACAGCAGGCTCATGTATTTAACTAACTACATTACACAGATAGCTATTTAACAGTCCAAAAGTGAAGTCTTGATTTTCCTCTCAAAACTATTCTTTCTGCAGCCTTTATCTCAATTAATGGCAAGTACATATTTCTAGGATTCTGGATCACTGAGTGTCATACAGAAACAGTTTAGGAGGAAGTAAAAAAAAAAAAAAAAACAGGAGAAATAAGACTGGGCAGTTTAGAAATAACAGTAGGGAAGCAGAGTCCCCACTGTGTTCCAGGTCTGGAGTAGTTATGTGAAACAGTAACTTGGTGAAATCACTTCTTTCTGTCTATGCAGCTGGTAAAAGACAAAGAGAAAACCTAAGTGGGTGTTGTAATGGAGGAAGCGGCTTTAAAGTGACCAGTCTTTGAGGGCATCCTAAACAATCTCTGTCAGACAAATGAAATTGAAATAAGCAAGCATTAGACAGACATAAAGCTGTTTCTGGTACCAGGACACACAGGAAAACAATGGGCATCATCAGTTATGGACATATGGTTGATGTTTTATTCTAGTGATTCAACTGGGAAGGAAAAAGGAGGAAAGGAAATCAATCCATGGTGGATGTTATACATCTATGAATAGTATAGAGGAAGATAAAGACACAACTATTACTCTAGACTTGGAGCTTATCCCACACTTTATAGGTGGCCTATGTGTCCATAATTTTACTTGAAATCTCCAGGGCCAGATGTTTCTTGGTTTTAGTATTACTGGATTTTAAAAAGGTATAGGTGAAGATAATATGTAACTATATGTTACATCCCATAATGGAACATATAAATACTTCCTTAATGAAATGCGTTATATTCTTTATCAAATGAGAATTATGACTATAAATGACCTCATATCAGTTTAAATAAAAATTGAACTCCAAAAAAAGTTTAAGAAAGGTAAAATTTTGTTATCAAATGAGAATGAAACTATTTTCAGCTTTAGGCAAGGTGGTGCACACCTTTAATCCCAGCACTTGGTGGGAACAGGCAGGTGGATCTCTGTGGGTTTGAGGCCAGCCTTGTCTACTTAGTGAATTCCAGGGTACATAGGACTACACAGTGAGTCCCTGTCTCAAATAGAATAAAATAACCTATTTTCAGGGCCAGTAAGATGTTGGGTTAAGGTGCTTGATCCAAGTCTCATGATCTGAGTTTGACCCCTGGAAGCTAGATGGTGGAAGGAGAGAATGGACGTCTAGAAGTTGTCCTCTGACTTATACACATGCAATCTGGCACCCCTCCCCCCACTATTAAAAAGTAAAATGAAACAAACCATCACTGACAACAAAATCATCTGTTTACCTGTGGATAACTATAATTCAACTTGAATACATGTGAGCAAGACAAAATAATTTTCAACCATGAGAAACAAAATAAATACAGATATCTTTCCCTAATCTAGACCTGAGGCATTGACAAGAGTAAAACCTGCACGTCTACAAGGTAAACCCAGAGAGACAAATGTATATTCTTACCAGGAATGTGGAATCCATTTCTGCTGTCATCAGCACTATGCCCTTTTCTTCCTTCAGTTCAGAATAGTGATATAAAACCAGCTGGCTCGTTGCCGCATCCCCTCGGGTCTGCACGGAGGAACACTTATCAAAGCTCAATAAGGTGCCACCCCAACAAACTGCAATTTCAAAGCTACAGAGTCTGGAGGAAATTCTAGCTCTTAACAGCCCCTTGGGTGGCTGTGAGTTAGAGGACTGATATGTAGGGGCAAAGTCAGGCCTGCAAAGGCCCGGTGAACTGACAATTTTCATGGTGTTATTTGTGTCTTCAATTGGAAAAGATTTGGCTTTTTTCCCAGAGAATGTTTACGAAGACAGTGAATCCTTCATTGTGGTCATACATTTAAAAACAAAATGGTATAGGCAGCTACCAAGCCAAGTTCTAAAAAGAGTGATATGCCAGTATAATTGCCACTTCTATGAACTCGTGCATTTCATCAACCCCCTATGGCAGCTCTGAAGATTGAGCTCTTTTAAGCTATAGCAAGCACTGGAGAATTGGTGTATAAGCCAGATTTCTACTGTATGGCTTTAAAATATTATGTGGTTGGGTCAGGAACAAAGAGCAATCAGTAAGGTCATCAGACCTCAAGTCTACACTAAGAACGGAAGCTGAATTTAAAGCCAATGCCTTTACACAGAATGGAAGAAAACAATGACATTTAAAAAAACAGATCCTTGGGCTTCATCTCTACAGCTTCAGCAGGCATCCTTTAAGTATTGTACCTAACAATTGCCAAGGTACTCTGAACAGTTCATCCTTAGTTCCCTCATCACAGTTATAACATACTGATCATTCTGGCCACAATCCTAGTATATACTAAATATTTTGATCATTATGTTTCCAAAGGACTTTCTGAGGGTTTTTTATGAAATTCATGCATGAAAATATTACAAAAGGCATACACTTCTCAACCCATGTATGAAAGCAAGCATTAGACTGTGGTGGTTTGAAAGAAAATTGTCCCCAAAGCTCACATATTTGAACATTTGCTCTGCAATTGGTGGTGTTATTTGGGGAAAGTTCTGGAACCTTTAGGAGGTGGAGCTTTTTTGGAGGACGCATGTCTTGGGGGCAAAGGGAAGCCGTAAGAGTTCATAGTTTCACCCACTTCCAGTCTGTTTTCTGCTTCATGCTTGCAGTTGAAGAATGAGCTCTCAACTCCTGCTCTGGCCATTTGCTTGATGCCATTAGGGAGCCCTCTCTGGAACTATAAGCCCAAATAAACTCTTTCTTCTATAAGTTGCTTCTGGAATGGAGTTTTATCATAGTAACAGAAGCAAACAAGGACAGAGATACAATTTGAGGATTCCTTTGCACCTCTTTCCAATCCTAGCCTAGAGTTATTATCTACTCTGAACTTGGTGTCTGTCACTTCCTTCTATACTTTCATATTTTTACTCTTCTCTTATACTTAGCTATGAACCCCATCAGGGTAGTCCTTTTCTCACAGACTTATAGGAGCTAGCAGAGTCTTCAACACAATGATATAATGTTTAAGTTTATATACTTTGGAGTCAGATAATCTGGATTCAAAATAGTTTATTACTTAGTAATAAAAACCAACTCCTCTAAGCTCACTTTCTTCTCTATAAGTAGAATAATAACAGTAACGACTTCATGGTATATTTGTGAAAATTAAATGACAAGTATAAAACAGCCATTGCATGACATCTATCAAATGTTAAGACAGCACATACTCAACAAATTATAAAACAACAATGTAAAAACTTTCTCCTTCATTTTATTTTGTGTCACCTGCCTCAACTTTAAAGCCAAAACATGTTTTTTTAAAAACCAGATCTGAGCTCCAAATATAGAACACTAATCCTAGTCATTATGAATTGAAATACTGACTTCTTAAGAGCTTCAAGTATATTTTGAGCTATATTTTTAACTCTAATATTTGGGAGTAAAACAGAAAAAATGAAAGCACAAAAAAACACAGATAAGAGATGGAGCCCTCGTCAATGGGTTTATACCTCGGGTTAAGAAGATGACATCTTGATTATCCATTTGTGTTAAAGAGGCAGATGCAATAGATGCCACAGAGGTTCAGGAAGGAGACAAAGGACAGTGATTCTAGAGAAAGGATATTGAGGCCTAGAAAACTAACCTAATATTCAACGTATGACAGTTCACCAGCACCACAGCAAGTAATGCTGGAGACAGCAGATATTCTGTACCTAAGCCCCAGAAAGGCTTCTAGTCTCACCAAAGGATAGACTTCTTTTTCTACCTTGTGTTTTGTAGCACATGAGTCACCTACCTGAATATTTATAAGTGCAGTGAAGTGGAGCTCTGTACCTGTCCATTGTCCAACAAAGAACTCATAACCATCCCTTCTTGGTAGTGCACAAAGAAACTGTGGGGAACAGAAAAACAAGTAAACAGGTGAATAAATGAAGTCATTTTTCAAAATCTAATCACTTGTACTACTCTATTTCTTCATTGTGTGGATATTTAATTTTTTCTTCTTTTTCCTTCTCCCTTTTTTTTTTTTTAATTTAAGACAATATACCCCAGGCTGGCCTCAAACTTACATATAACCAAGCATGACCTGACCCCTGATCCTCCTGCCTCTACCTCTCAAGTACCTGGACTAAGCATGTGCCACCACACCCAGTCTATGGGGTGCTGGGACTTGCACCTGGGGTTTTGTGTATGATAGGTAACGTAACCTACCAACCGAGTTATGTCCCCATCACATGAGTCTTGGCTTTAAAAGCATTTTTTAAATTATGAAATTAATTATGTGATAGCATAACAAACACATGCATATTTCTCAACCCATCTAAGAAAGAAAGCATCAGAGATGAAATTTGAGGACTGCTGACATTTAGCAATATTGCTATCCAACCCACAAACATGATGTATGTCTCCTATTTGCTGAGGTATTTATTTTCTGCAAGCAATGTTTGAGAAAAAAAAAAAAACCCTAGCAACCACTGCTGACAAGCTGGCTGTTACATCAGCTATCCATTCCCTTTCCCTGGAGCCCTTTGGTGAGTCACTACTTCAGCAACAAAATTAACTTATTTCTGGCACATATTATCAGAATATCATGAACAAAACTGTAAAGAAAACTCTAATAACTCTAATACAGGAACCTGAAGGAAGTTGCAAAGAATAAAGTCTTAGGTGCCTTCTAGTATCATTCATTTATTCATTCACTCATTCTTTTATTCATTCATTTATTGAAGCAGAGTTTATATAGCCCTGGCTGGAACTTGCTATATAGAGCAGGCTAAACAGGATTAAAGGCATGTATCACTACACCGGGCTCTTAGGTGCCTTTTCATATGTACATACACTGATAGATAAGACCCATATCAGAAAGGTCCAATATGTAGTAGAGAGATATATGCTGTTTATAAGAATAAAAATATCACTCATCAGAACAATTAGCATGTGAGCACCTTTGTTAATAGAGCATTATATCATGAGAAGGACTGGTTTGAAATCACTTATTTGGTAGCATTTATAAGCAATTCTACATGGTTACCACAGACTTACAGTTGGGCAGGACTGAGCCCGGTTCCAGATCAAGTCAAACTTCTCTTTCTGTAAATTAGAAAGAGTAAGATTACCTCACAAATAGGAAAACATAAAAAGTCACCATTACAACTGAATTTTCCAAGACTGAATTCTAGAACTATATTATGGCAGAAACACAGGCTTTTTAAGTTCCATCACTTACAAATCATTTTTATGATAAAAAGACAGAAAAAAAAAACAGATGCATGCTTTGCTGCTTATTGCTGCAGATCATGTGTGAAGATTAAGTACTCCAATGCTTCAATGTCTCCAAGGAACCAGGTGAATCCAAGGAGGACTTGAGAAGGCCTGTTCAATGAGTTGGTATAAAAGATCATAAAACAGAGTGCTAAGATTGTGGACTTGATAAAGGTAAGAATAGATACGTATAAGAAGTTAAAAAAAAAAAAAAAACAGGATAGCAATTTGTTTATAACAAAAAAGCCTGGCTTTCTTTCTATATGCATTTTCCTCTTCAATGTTATACTTATGTAAGCCAAGAACATAACTTCAGTGTACTTTAAGGTAAGATATCTTTTTCTTTCTTTTTAACTTTCTATAACTCACAGAGATTTCCCTGCCTCTGTTTGTACTTAAGTACTGGGATTAAAGGTGTGCACCACCATGCCTGGTCTAGAGTAACATGTAATCTTAATTAGATTAGATAGCTTTATCAGTTCTTAGTCATAGAGCTTAATGGCAAGGCAATGGCCAAGCAACCACCTCTGAAATAATTTCAAGAAGACAAAACAAAAACAAAACAAAAAACGCCACTTGCTGGGGGAAAAGCTGGAGAAAGGCCAGGAGGGAGCACCAGCCAGGTCAATTTAAGCACCTGCCATCTACAGACATGAAGGGAAGGAAGCTAAGGAAGCTATGCTGGGGCAGCGGCTTGAAGTCCAACAGTTCAGTTGGAAATGAGAAGGAAATAAAATGCATCTGGAAATCACTCAGAAACATGAACTTATACTAGCCTCCCTGGTTAGAGACTTGGCAACATTTCTAAACCAGAAGGAGGGAAAGCAAAAGTCATAAATATACCATATGGAGCTTCCAATCTCTGGTGCTTAGGGCACAATAAAACTCTAGAGTTGTAAAGTATAAGTTCTCAAGATGTCATAAACACAGGAAAAGTAAAGGCAACTGCCTGAGAGGGAGCTGACCTTCATGCTGTAACACTTCCATTACTTACAGGAATAACTGCGTAGACTGTGTCCTTTGCTGAAAAATACTGTTGCCAAATCTGCAACAAACAAACAAACAAACAAACAAACAATGTGGGTAATCTTTTTAATGTATACCAAGAAATATTCATAGCTTTCATTCTCAGAGTATTATTCTATTTGATAACAGGGAGGAAAACTTCATTGCAATGTTTTTACAACTAGTATGTAATTTAAAAAATTTAATAACGCCTGTTCTTCTGAATGACTAAACTGTAACTCTTTAAATTTTTCTAAGATGCATTTTTTTTTTTTTTTTGGTATATGTCTCTGTATGTATAAACCACCTGTGTAGATGCCCTTAGAGGCCAGAAGGGGTGTTGGATCACCGAAAGTCAGAGCCACTTGATGTGAATGCTGGAAACAACATAGATCCCGTAGAAGAGCAGAAAGTACTCTTTGTGCCTGAGTTACCTCTCCAAGCCCCAAACTGTTTATTTCTTAATAATAAACTCCGGGGCTGGAGAGATGGCTCAGCAATTAACAGCATTTACTGCTTTTGAAGAGGACCCAAGTTTGGTTCTTAGCAGCCATGGCAGGTGGCTTATGGCTGCCTGTTACTCCTGTGCCAGGAGACCAGTGGGATCTGATACCTTTGGCCTCTGCATGCTCCTGCACTCCTGTGTCCATATCCCCATAAGACGGACAATTGAAAATAATAAAAGAGACTGAAGAGATGGCTTAGCAGTTAAGAGCACTGGCTGCTCTTGCAGAGAACCCGGGTTCAATTCCTACTGCCCACATGGCAGCTCACAAGCACCTGTAACTTCAGTTCCCGGGGATCTAACATTGTCTCTCGGCCTACACAGGCACTGCATGCAGACGGTGCACAGGCATATATGCAGGCAAACTACCCAAACATATAAAACAAAAACAGTAACGTTAAAAACGTAAGCTTTGTCAAAGAAGTTGCTTCTATGACCTCTGAAGTAATTGTCCTCAATTATTTTTGTTTGTTGTGATAGGCTTATCATAGGTTCTTTATCCCTTCCCCAACCCCATGCCTCCCCAGCCAACTGTGGGCCTTCTCCGAGAGCAAGAAAACAAGCCATTCAGAGTTTAGGGTCTGGAGTCAATGGCCTGGGATGCAAATCCTGGCCCTGATCATTTACTGGCTATTTTTCTTTGGGCAAATCACTGAAACTTCTTAAACACCATCAATAAAACAGCAGTAACACTAACCTCATGGGTCATTATGAAGACTAACTGAACTAATACAACACTGAGACTGGCAGAGTAGGCACTAAAAATGACGTTTGCTTTTATTGCTATATTACAAGCAAAAAAATTCTGCTTCCAGAATGTCCTACAGAGTTCCGAAAGAGCCAAGCTGTCTGACTACGGTACAGAACAGTCACACGTCTTATCTCTCTGCCTGGCATCACACACAGGAGGTATAGCTGACTTTCACGATGTAAATACCCAAAAGTAGTATAAAATTAGAAAACTGGGAAGAGAAAAAAAAAATCTATAGTTTTACCCACGGTGAATTATTTTGGTGTCTTTCTTAGGAAATATTTTTATAGTATGTTCTATAGAGAACATATGCAGTATTATCTCTTAGCACATCTGTATGTTCCATGTTCATACCTTTTACTCCTATTATTTTTATTGACCTCTGTGGCTTTTCACATTACTGTTTTTTACTGGAGTTTTCTTTTTCCCAACTCTAACCTCCTTCCCCGTCCATTCTTCCTAACATTTAAGGCTAATTTTACATATTTTCTCCTCCTGCATAGTTTCAGTCAGGAGTTTTCTTATGAATTGTCTTTGTACTTTGTATCTCTCTGAAGATTGTGCTGGCTAGTTTTATGCCAACTTGACAGAAGATAGAGTCCTTTGGGAAGAGGGAGCCTCAGTTGAGAAATTGCTCCCACCGAACTGGCCTGTGGGCAAGAATATGGTGCATTTTCTTTCTACAAACAAACAAACAAACAAACAAACAAACAAACAAACAAACACTTTTATATCCCACTCATAGGCCCCTCCTTCCTTTCTTCCTAGTCCTATCTTCTTTCCCTCTTCCTCCCTCCCCTACTCCTCAGACAAGGGAAGCCTCCAAACCCCACCCCAGCTCATTAAGTTAGATCAGGACTGATTGTTTCCTCCTTCCCTGTGGCCTGGTGAGTCAGCTCCACCCCAGGGGAGTGATCAGAAAGCAGGCAACAGAGTCCATGTAAGAGACAGCCCCTGCTCCCCTTACTAGGAAACCCACATGAAGTCTGAGCTTCCCACCTGCTACATATGTATAGGGGGCCTATAAGGGTGCTGTCTATGTATGGTCCTTGGTTGGTGTTTCAGTTGCCACAAGTCCTCTGGACCCTGGTTAGTTGGCTGTTGGTCTTTTTGTGGAGCTCCTGGCACCTCCAGGTCCTTCTGTCCTTCCTTTCACTTTTCCACAAGACTCTCTATGCTTCACCCAATATTTGGCTGTGAGTCTCAGCATCTGTTTTGATCCACTGCTAGGTTGAGCCTCTCAGAAGACAGTAATGCTAGGCTCCTGCCTTGTTCCCTCTCTTCAGCCACTTCGGCTTTCTATTCTATTTCCCCTTCTGAGTGAGATTTAAGCATCCTCTCTTGGGTCCTCCTTGTTACTTATCTACTTTGGGTCTGTAAATACAGTGCATTTTCTACTTAAAGACACATTTAATTTTTTATTATTTTATGTGTATGTATGTATGTATGTATGTATGTATGTATGTATGTATGTATGTATACCACATTTATGCCTAGTTCCCAGGAGGTCAGAAGAGGGTTTTGGATCCCTTGGAACTGGAATTACAGATGGTTGTGAGCCACCCTGTGGATGTTGGGAACCAAACCTGGGTCCTCTGTAAGAGCAATAAGTGCTCTTAATCGCTGAGCCAATCCTCCAGCATTTTCTTAGTAAGTGACTGATGTGGACAGGCTGAGCATATGGTGGATGATCCCTGAGACATATAAAAAAGCTGAATAAGCCCATAAGCAGCACTTCTCCAATGCATCAGCTCCTGCCTCTATATTCCTGCCATTTTGAGTTCCTTCCCTGACCTCCATGAATGACAGACTATAAACTATAAGCTGAAATAAATACTTTCCTCCCCAAGTTGCTTTTGGTCATGGTGTCTTACTGCAGTAACAGAAAACTGATTAAGATAAATATGCTAACTTACAATGATTATTAGCATATGAATGTACTTCCTTCACTAATTTGCAAGCCCTGTATAGGCAGGACATTTGTCTGTGCTGTCACTGATGCCCTGCAATCCAACAGTATCAGATGACTGTGATGCTGGGGATACAGCCCAGCAGCAGAGCATTTGCTCAGCATGCACGAGGTTCTGGTTCAATCCCCAGTACATCTGGGGTAAAAGGGCAGCAAGCAGAGGGAATTTGGTTTATACGAGGGCTTTGTAAAGTTTTCCCACTTGTGACTTCCTTTTGCCCAAGAAATTTGATTATGGGTATATGCAACATAAAGTAGTCATACAAATTAAACATTTACTGATGGCAAATCATAAAGAAACATTTCAAAATAATTCTTTCACATACATATAATTTTATCAGTTATTAAAGACAAAAGTGAATTTGTGTACTATTGAGATGGATGTGCTTATTTTTAAACAAAGAAGTAAATCTTGGCTGAAATTTGATATTGTATGATGTAAATAACCTTCAATATTTTTCAGAGGTGATTATTTTTATATAACTGCCAATGTTTAGAAACATTGTTTTGTATATTTATTTTTTTAAGCCATGTCTTTAAATTGGAAATAACAGCATCTATTTCCAAGGGTGGACATTAGAATCTAAGGAAGAAATACCTACGAAGCAACAAGCATAATGCCTACCTATTTTTATTATTTCTTTTATTACTACAGTGTTAATTAACACATATGCCTAAAACATAACTCATGGAAGTATAAAGAATGTCCAAATAGTTTCATATGGGCTAGAAAGAAAAGAATTATAGTCACAAAATGTAATGGACAATGAAAATCAAAGTACACAGAATGACCAAACAAGCAGGATAGATCATGAGTATGTTGTAGTAAATAAAGATACTTTCAAGGGTAGGAGGACCGCCCCTATCAGTGGACTTACAGAGGGGCAGGGAGGAGATGAGGGAGGGAGTGTGGGACTGGGAGGGAATGACGAAGGGGACTACAGCTGGGATACAAGGTAAATAAACTGTAATTAATATAAAAAATAAAAATAAAAAAAAAAAAGAGTGCTTTCAAGAGAAAAGTTCAGGAAGTGCCTATGGAAGGTTCTTAGGTCACAAATGTCAAGGAAATGAATATGGGGGAGAGGTTGTCACTGGATATTTGCAAACAAGTTCCCAATCTAATGTTTTTTTTCATTTATTTTAAAATATATATAGCACTTTGTGCCAGGGTTTGTTCTAAGTGTTTCACAAACGTTAACTCATAGCTTGAGATGTACATGTATAGTTGTTATCACTTTACAGTGGGGAAACTGGGATTCTGAGAAATAACTTGTCTAGTCAAGTAGGTGGCAGTGCTAGAACTTAAAATGCAGTGCGTTTCTAAGGTCTCTGTCTCCTTCTTTCCTTTTTGAGACAGGGTTTCTCTGTGTGTGGCACTGGCTTTCCTGGAACCTGCTCTGTAGACCCAGCTGGCCTTGAACTCAGAGATCCACCTGCCTTTGCCTCGTGAGTGCTGGGATTACAGGCGTGAGCCACCACTGCCCAGCTCTAAAGTCTCTGCCTTACCTAGAACACTACCTCCTCTACAAGGCAAACAGAACCTTAAGCACACTCAGCTAAGAAAGGGTAAAGTGAGATCAGGGAAGTCCACTTTTGAGGGCAGCTAAGCTCACCACTGTGCCACCAGCACCACACCAGGGGAGCCTATTTGGAAAGGGAGTACAGTCATCAGGCACAGAGTTTTGACGATTGAAAATAAAATGGGCAACAGGAATGAAAAAGAAAGGGCAAACCCAAGTTCATTAGACATATAAAAGCAAGAAAAAAAAAAAAAAAGACATGTTTCTAATGTCACTGTTACTTATGTGACTCATCTCTTTTGTACCGTAGGATTATTTTTTATTTGGGATAAAAATGGTGTAAGAAAAATGTATGACCTTTTCTGTCCTCAGAAATGGTTCACAGAGCAAATACTTTCTGAGTGTGCCTACTCATTTTCATTCATTACCTGTCTTATTTCCTCCGCAGTTTTGTCTTTCACCATCTCAATGTTGAAGATTGAACTGAGAGTCTTAAGAGAAGAAGTAAAAATTAATATCTACAATTAACAACAACAACAACATCCCCAGCTTAATTCTATCTAAAGCCTTGTTAAAAAGAATGTCAGCACAGTGAAGCAGACCTTCAGTAAGTAGGCACATAATAAGCATTAAACAGTCACATGCTCAGAGAATGTGAGTCTCTGCTCCCACACAGAAATTCACAGTTCTATTCCTGAGGAGTATCAAGTACTCCCCAAATGTATCGGTCCTACCAGTGAGTTCTGCAGCTGGAGAAACACTGGCAGCTCTTCTACCAAGGGTTCCTTATTTGCACAATAAAGTACAAGCTAATGTGGTGTTTCGATTTAGAAAATTACTTTCTATAGAAAAGAGTGTACTCCATTTCCTTCCAATTTCTTGTACCATTTTTGAACCCACACTTAAGCTAGCGATCATGTCAAGGACACAAAAATCCAGACAAATATTTCTCATATCTACTGTTAAATCTGTTCAAATTTGCAGCCTCTTAGAGATGTTCCATGACTTCAGACTTGGATTTCTTTATTTAATTAGAAACCTACCTTGTCCTTAGTGAATCCTTTGCTCACAGGCTGTTTCCCCAAGGCATCTGTCTGAAATACATGATTAGACAGACTATTAAACTATACTGCCCTTATTAAAAAAAAAAGAAAGAAAACAAAGCTACTGTTAGCCAATCTCATTAAGTAATTCTGTACCCGAGAACTCACTCCTATCCACTCTTCACAACACTGTTATGTTCTATTCTGCTACTGTTTATGGGACAGTTTTCCTTCCACTAAGATTCTGAGATGTAGAGATAAGAACCAGGTTGTTAGTAATAATTCTCTATGTGCCACTATGAAGGACTGTGAAAGAACGTGAAGGATTCCTTCCCAATTTGTTCTTTTTGGGCTCTGTGCTTGGCCCTCTGACCTATTCCACACCAGTCACTGATTAGGTAAGAAATGGAGAGATTTTCTAAAACTGATTATTACAGATAAGATTTTAGTGATAGGTGCCCTCAGCATACTAGAGTCCTGCTGAGTTCTCAGTTTCTCTATTAATTAGACTTCTTGTGATGGCTAATATTCCTTGTTACATTGACTGGACTGAGAGTGCTTAGGGCATTTGTAATATACCTCTGGGTAAGTCTGTGATGGCACTTCTAGAGATGACTAGGTCATAAGGGCGCTGATCTAATGAATGAATTAATCCTTTTTTGGCTTCATATAGTATGACACTGGGAAGTGATGAAAGGTAGGATATGGGGCCTATCTGGAGGAAGTATATCATTAGGGCATGTTCTTAGTGCTTCAATCTTATTCTAGTCTCTTCCTATATCCCCTGTTTATGCTTCCTGAACCCATATGCTCTTTGACACATCTGATACCATGGCAAAAATCCTCATTAAGGTTGTTTCTATCACAGAAACATGCTAACAACTAATACACTCTCTCTAAAAGGGCCAGAAACAATTGAAAGTGTTCCAGCCTGGCTCAAGTCTCTCTGGAATTTGTTCCATGCACCTCCTAGATTAGAAGTTTTCAAATTATATTTTATAAAATCAATTTAGTGGATTCGTCATCAGAATTTTTTAGAAGATGAAAAGTAAGAATGTACTATTCAGTCATGTCAGCTCACACCTGCAATCTCAACACATGGGAGGCTGAGACAGGAGGCTTACTGAGAGCTCAAAAGGGTTACCTGCTGAGTTCCAGATGGGACTGGTTTACAAAGTGAGAACTAGCCTAAACATAGAAAGAGAATGTAGTACATGTCACAAGATCACTGCTGCATAAAAATTTTGCTTGTTATAACATATACATGTATTCTAAGTAGCAAGGAAAGCACTGTCCTAGAGTACCATACACATAGCTTTCTACATGCTTTGATGCTCAAGGATCACAATGCCTAATGAAACATTAAGCTCTCTTTATATGCCAGGGACTGTGCTGAAGAGTGCATGGTGCTAGTTCATACAAACTTTAGCATGATCTGTGGGGTAGGTATTATTATTTCTAATTCACAAATAGGCAAAATGAGGCACAGACAATTATATAATTTGCCCATAATTACCTACTGGTAACTGAAAGCTATGATTCAGTCCCTGGCATGTGGTTCTCTAGAGCTTGTCTCTTATCAGGTAACTTACCCTACCTTTATTTCTTAAACTCAATTAAGAAATATTTTAAACTCTTAAACTCTGCAGCCATGTGTACATACTCACATGCACACATACACACCTACATACAACAACAAAAAAAATCATAAAAAAATAAATCTTGCTGGTGTACAACTTTAATCCCAGCTCTCAGGACACAGAGACAAGAGAATCTATGTGAATCCAAAGTCAGCCTGGTGTACATGACAAGTTCTAGGCCAGCCCAATAAAAATAAATAGATAGATAGATAGATAGATAGATGATAGATAGATAGCAAAAGCAACATGGCAAGTTCTAGGCCAGCACAATATAGACAGTGAGACTGTGTAACCCAGAAGCAGAAAGACACACATAGTATGTACTCATTATAAGTGGATATTAGCCATATAATGTAGGAGAAGCTAAACAGCAAGGGGGACCCTAGGGAAAAGGCTTGCTTAATCTTCATTCAGAAAGGCAAATACAATAGACGCTGGAAGTAAAAGACAGGGAACAGGACAGGAGCCTTCCACAGGGAGCCTCTGAAAGATTCTACCCATCAGGGTATCGAAGCAGAAGCTGAGACTCATAGCCAAACTTTGGGCAGAGTGTATGGAATCTTATGGAAGACAGGGGAAATTAAAAAGACCTGGAGGGGACGGGAGCTCCACAAGGAGACCAACAGAGCCAAAAAAATCTGGGCTCAGGGAGTTCTGCAGAGACTGAGGAGTCAACCAAAGACCATGCATGGAGAGGTCCTAGACCCCCTGCTCAGATGTCGTCCATGGGCAGCTCGGTCTCCATGTGGGTTCCCTAGTAAGGGGAGCAAAGGCTGTCTCTGACATAGACTCAGTGGCCAGCTGGCTCTTTGATCACCTTCCCCTGGTGAGATGGCCTAATTAGGCTACAGAGAAAGAGGATCCAGACAGTCCTGATGAAACCTGATAAGCTAGGGTCAGATAGTATGGGAGGTGGACCTCCCCTATAGGTGGACTAGGAGAAGGAGATAGAGGGGAAAAGAGGAAGGGAGGGTGGAATTGGGAGGAGATGAGGGAGAGGGCTACAAGTGAATCAATTGTATAAAGAAAAAATTAAAAATAAATAAATAGCAAAAGCAAATCCTGGCTCTCCATTGAAAATACTTCCCTGCTTCCTTTAGCTCAGTGCCATGTGTACCCTGATTTGATCACTAGAGTGCATTCCTTATGGGCAGGGGCTATCCTTTCATTCCTCTATATCACATCATGATTACAGAATCTTGCCCACAAAGTACGGGCTACACATTTATTGATGGACACTGAGTACAGATGAGCTGTTCAGGTCACCTGTTGCTCCATCAGTGAGACCACTTCAAGGGTAAGGCCAGTAGGAGTGCTAGTAAACTTATAATATACAAAAGAAAAGGAGCAGGTACGCCTTACCTTCTGTTCTACACATTTGATAAAATCACTTTGCTTGGAGTGACCCACTGGTTGCTTCCGAAACTCACTGCGCTTCTCCAAGCGGGACTCAAAGGCAGCTGGGTCAGACCTGACAAAAGATAAGTTAGAGGGTAAAGTACCTAGGCCTTTCTGGATTTTGAAATAATAAAGCATCATATTCCATCTCCACAGAGAAGGGGCACCATGAGGGTAAAGGGTTTGCTTTCAGTTGTTAAGAACTGGGTATTAGCCTGAAAGTTAAGACAGTGGAAACCAAAGCCAGTTATGTAACTACTGGTAAGCCTCGAGGGATCAGCAGTGCAACATTTTTTTCTCTTGCAGGCTATTTTCTCAGGTGATGCAGGGCTTGGTTTCTCATTAAACATTATAGGTTTAAGAAATACTTTGAAGTCACATTGCTGGGTTACCTCTGCAGGTAGGAATTCTATAGCATGCCTGCTAGGTGTTAAGCTTTTTCTTGACTCTTTTTTTTTTTTTTTTTTGGTTTTTCTAGACAGAGTTTCTGTGTGTGTAGCCCTGGCTATCCTGGAACTGGCTTTGTAGACAAGGCTGGCTTCAAAATCACAGAGATCCACTTGCCTCTGTCTCTTGAGCACTGGATTAAAGGCCTGTGCCACCACACCTGGCTAAATATATCTAATTTTTGAGGTCTCCCTCTATCCCATTCTTGGATCCTGTGTTCCAAGTGGGTGCTTTTGAAGAAGAATTGGTACCTGAGTATCTCCCTGACAGAACATCAGAATTCATTGTTTATTTTAAAATGGAGGTGCTCTTTAGGCTTGATGGCCAGCTGGGGCTGCTGATGTTACTCGTACTTCAGACTGTGTAGCTGACCATGGGATGTTTGGCTTTCTGGTGAAAACATCACCCAATGATTCTAGCTTGGTGAAGAGCTAGAGTGAAGAGTCAAGGGTGAAGAGCCAAGGAGATCTTGTTTAACCCTTTGGTAGACTTTCATAGTCAAGACATTATAGGGTACTTCCTATTCCGTAAAACAATTTGGATGTGACACCAAATGTCACTCTTTTCATTACTATGGAGATGAGCTGATCTTTTTTCTTTCCACCTGGAAGGACTGGGTCAGCCTGGCTAGCAGCCATAGATGTACCTGAGCTTGCCATGGTGAGCGCACACAGAACACAGAGGCATCTTGTGCAGCCAAACTCTTGCTGAGCTCTAGGGACATAGAAGATAACTAAGACACTGTCTGTACTTGAAGAAACAGACACCTAAATATGTACACAAGCACTACTGATAATTATAACTGTAACAAAAATTTGCTCCAACTTCGCTAAAGAACTGAGATAGTGTACTTTTAACTGTGTTGTTGTTTCCCATATTTGGAAAACATTCCACCCTTTTCCTTCCTCCAAGTATTTTAGAGCTGGACCTACTATTTGAAGTTCTGGTGCTAGATCAGGCTAGAGCGACGGACAGGGACGAATATGTGACAGTTTTATGTGGAGCGCTAAGCAATTTAGACACTGTGGAATTCAATGGAGGCACCTTGGCAAGCTCACTTTCTGCACTATGAATATGTATAAATGTTGATGGGAATAAACAGTAAGGAAAGAAAGAAACCATTACTGGCTCTTGAGTAAGTATGAATGAAACCTCTAAGTGGTCAGAGTGTGATTAGACATCTCTTCGGGGATGCGTGAATGTAAAAGGTATCAGAGAGAAATGGGTGGAGAGGACTGTAGGTCAAGAATCTATTTTAAAATGACAGTATTTGAAGGAGAGCCAAAGTACCTGTTCATCTGTACCATCATTGCTTCAAAAAGCATGAAAGATCGCTGTGTTCATGGTAAAGTGGGCAGGAGAAGGGTCTAAGACTAGAAGTGGGGAATACTAGTTGGAGACTGATGCTGCCCGTGTGAAGATGAAGAAGTAATCAAGGGAGTGGAATTAAAACGAGACAAAAATGCAGAGACTTTACAGACCTTACGTTCTGGCTCCCTTTCGTAACTGCCTTCCTATACCACCAAACTCTCTCCCAAACCTTCTTTCCATTTGACCTTCAACTCTTCCACCTGGAACTAAGCACCTATTACACCCACGTTAACAGCCTTAACACTCCACATACTCCTCAGTGCTGGGATGGAACTCAATGCCCTGTGCAGACTAAGCAGGTGCTTTTCCACTAAGCTACGCCCTTCCACCGCCAGGCTTTACCATCTGGAAGCAGAAACATTAGGAACGCTGGTTTGGGTCAGATAAACTCTAACAAACTGTGTGACCTCTAGCAAGAGTCTAACTCTCTCTTGACCCCTACATTACCTTAATGAAAGGGTTCAATGATCGATCCGAATGTAACACTATTAGTCTTTGCAGCACTTTTTTTCACACTCCCTGTCTCCTTTCCATGCAGTCAAGGCCCTAAGCTGGGAGCCTAGGAACCGGATCTCTTGGTCAGGTAACCGCCGATTCAACATGCGACCTTGAACAAATCAAGGGCCTTCTTTGAAGGCTTCATTTTCACATTTCTACATAGGAGACAACTTTCTCTGAGCTGTCTCCCTCACAGGGCTTTTTAAGAGAGTCTACCTGAGCGTTCTGAGAACCAAGCACAAAGACAACTGTGGAAAGATCCAAAGGCTCTGCAGAGAGCAGCGATGTGACCTCAGGCAAGTGACCTGGCGGCCTCTCTGAACTTGGAAACAAACTACTGGAATAGTGGGGACAGAACAGGCCCACCAAATCCGACAGTCGTACATTCCGGAAGTTCTGCCCGCGTGCCGCCAGTCCTCAGCCCCCACCCACAGCCGGCCGGGACCGCACCTGCGCAGCTGCTGGATCTTGTCCCGGTAGCGGTCGTAGAAGGGGTTAGCTTCCAGCTCGCTGACCCCGCTGCCGTCTGCTCCCCCAGAGGGCAGCCCCGAGCCCCGGCGCACGGGAAACACGCGCAACTGTGCTGGTGACACGAACCCCAGCCCTAGGGCGCGGCTGCGCACTGCACACAGGCCCCGGTAGAGGCCGGCCACCTGCAGGACCGCGGGACACGCACCACCCGCAGCCGACACCACGGCCGCCATGGCCGCTCGCGCCTCCCCCTCCTCCTCCTCGGGCGCGTCAGCCTCGGCCCCCGGCCCGCGCGCCTGCTCCATCGCCCTTAGGGTCCGCGACGCCCGCGTTCCGACACCGAGGTTCCGCGCGCTCAAGGTTCCGGGTGCCGGTGTGGAGAAGGGACAGCGACGCTTAGGGCTGGCAGGTCTCGGCGCTGCCCACCCGCTCTGTGGGTGGAGTGGTGCGTCTCCTCCCGGGAGGCTGCCGGGATTCACGTCCCCCCTCTCGGACCAGCAGCCTCTGCGCGTCAAGCAGAAGAATCTGGAGAGCTGCCTTGGATCTTCGGGTTCTCACTGGGCTTGCCCCTCTTCTAAATTTACTTGGCACTAGCTGTAACAGTTCCTATAGCAGTAAAAAGATGTTTGAACATCACAGCTGAAGCTTCTTTTTATCGGTTTCTATTTGCAGAAGGTTCCATGGCCTCATACCCTATGAAGGAGATATTACCTTCATTTAAAAGATGAGGAAGCTAAACTAGCCGGGAGCCACTAAGGTACCAAGTTCCATCTAATTGCTTAGCTTTTTAAAAACGCAGTGCCTCTGAAGTCTGCGTTCCTTCCTGGCATTTAACTGAACTACTCTCCTCAGAGACACAAGGACAATGACATCATTTCTGTCTCACCTGCTGCCAGCAGGAGTGGACCCTATGTGAAGGCAGTCGCACTGAAGTCCTTATCTGGTCCTTAGGTAGGAGCCCCTCCTGAGGAAGGAACAGAGGCTTCAAACTCTTCAACACAGACTGCGCTCGGACACCGGACTATGGATGCTGGGACAATGCAGTGGGAGATTATGGAAATCTGCCTCTGCTGGCCTGTATCTGGCTCAGGATTCCTGGCTCAGAATTCTTCCATGTGCTGTTTCCTCTGCTCAAACAGGCATCCACTGCCTCTTCCTCATCTAGACCTCAGTTCACCTCTCAGCACCTCAGAGACCTCTCTTGCTGATCCTCCATCATTTAAAAAACAAAAAACAAAAAACATTATGTGTGGAAGTCAGAAGACAATTTTGTGAAGTAGGTTTTCTCCTTCCTTTGCAGGTTCGAGCCATCTAACTCAGGTCACCAGGCTCACATGGCAAATACTTTGAGCCTGCTGAGCCATTTCACCCCCACTTCTCTGCATAGTGTACTTTTACTCTACCTCATCCTGTTATCTCACTCTACTTTTCGCAGCACTTATCACTATCTAAAATTTTAGAACTGTGGTGGTTTGAGGGAGAAATGTCTCCCATAGACGCAGGTATTTGAACCCTTTTTCCCTGTTAGGGGAGGCTGTGAACCTTTAGGGGATGGAGCCTCATTGGAGGAAGTGTATCACAAGGGGTAGGCTTTGGGAGTTTGTAGGCTTGCCCTACTTCCATTTACTGCTTTCTACTTCCTGCATATGGATAAGAATGTGTTCTGCCAGCTTCTTGGCCCAGTCACCTGCTGCCATGGCGTGAACCTCCCCTTCTGGAACCATAAGCAAGGGAAAAAAAAAATCCTCATTCTATACTTTGCCTCAGTTATAGTATTTTTATCACAGCAACAGAAAAGTAACTAATGCAAACACCATGTTTACATCAATACATGGAGTTTATATCTTAGTGGGACCAGATAAATGCAATGCTTGTATGTGGAAAAACAAGATAGACACACACAAATAGGGGGGTTGCCCAAGCAGAGATTTGAATGAAATGAGGGAATAATTTGTATGGATACTTGCAGGGACGGACTAGCTAAGGGGAACAGCGAAGGCAAAATGATGGTACTGTTGTGAAATAGCAAGGTTATCTCGTGGGGGAGGAGAGAGAGGTAGAGATGGCACAGAGTTGGGTGGTTAAAATGCTCGGGGCTTTGGAGGCTGTGGTTAAGAACTGGCTTTTGATCTGAGTGAGATGGGAAGTTGCCATCTCACTTGAGCAGAGGCATAACATGGTCTGCTCTTCAAAGAATCATTCTGACTGCTGGAATTTGGAGTATGTGGAGCAAATATGGAAACTTCCAAGGGTGAGTGACTTGTCCTACTTTTTATTTATTTACTTATTTACTTATTTATTTATTTATTTATTTATTTATTTATTTATTTATTTATTTCAAGACAAAGTTTCTCTGCGTAACCTTGGCTGTCATGGACTCAATCTGTAGACCAGGCTGGCCCTAAACTCACAGAGATCCATCTGCCTCTGCCTCTGCCTCCCTGGTACTTTGTCCTACTTTAAATCCCAAGATTAAGTATCATTTAATAGACAGGCAAGGAGGCATGTCAACTAGACTGTTGGGTATGTAACTATGTATGTTCCAGGCTGGAGGTATAAAGTTGTGAATTATCAGTGTATCTGTGTTCTTTACTGTTAAAAATGTGCATAAGTTCACTGGGAAGGAGATGTAGATAGACTGAGCCCTGGGGCATGCCAACACTTTGAGGCCAGGAGAAAGAGGGACTAACCAGCAGAGGAGGAGGAAGAGCATTGGGCAAGTAAGGCAGAGCCAAGGGGGAAAGGCATTCTGGGAAGAACTCTGTAAATAGTACTCTCATTTCTGAAATGTCCTCAATTTGGTGTTTTGAACACTTGATCCCCAGCTAGTGACACTACTTTGGGAGGTTGTGGAAACGGTGAAAAGGTTGGGCAGAAGGTCACATGGGGTAGAACTTGGAGAATTTTAGCCCAGACCTTTGCTCTGGCCCCGATCTCTGCCTCCTGTTCGCTGTGATGTGAATGGCTGTCTTCTACCGTATGTTCCTCAGCAGCCATGATGTTCTGCCCACCCACCTGGAACCAAACAACTACAGATTTGAACCAAGAGCTAAATTAAACCTTTCCTCTTTTTACATTGCTTCTGTCAGATATTTGGGTCATAGAAATGCAAAGGTAACCAAGAGTGTCTTAGATCGTAATGGGGGACTATAAAAGGGAGAAAAAAAAAAGGTAAGATTTCAAGTCAGGACTAGTTGGTATATACCCTGGGAAACTGGCTTAAGCTTAGCATGGAATGAGTTTTCTGGGCTACCCATAAATGGATCAAACTTCCTTAAGAAGTAATGAGCAAGGCCCTGGCTGCAGTAAATGCTGGGGGTGGGGGGTGGGGTTGGTTGCCAGTGAGACCTCCCCCTATAGGGCTCAGACTAGACAACTCTTAAGTCTCTTCTAGGAAGTGAACTGAAAGGACTGTTTGTTCCACAGCAGGTTTGAGCTCTGTGTATACTGGTAAGGGGAGTTGTGGATAAGCAGTACCCAGTGGTAAAATGAGAGAAGCACTCCCAAAGGAGAAGGCCCCAAGAGCAAAATTCCCATGGTGATTGGTGTGTATGTGTATGTGTATGTGTATGTGTATGTGTATGTGTATGTGTATGTGTATGTGTATGTAGGGGAATGTATGTATGCCTGGCCAGAAAGGAATGGAGTGTGCAGAATAAAGAGGAAGGTTAGGCCAGAAAGGGATGCAGAACTAGATAGAGAAGAACTCCCACAGGGCCCAAGAACACTTGCCAGCACTTGTTGAAGGGAAGAAAGGAAACAGAAATAAAAGAGATTGTAGGAGCCAGAGGCGGCAATGACTACTTGGTTCCCTTGAGCTGGTTTTCTTCTGACACCTTGGTTCAAGATTTGTTTGAGGCAGGCATGCCCAATGCTCTGTGTGCTCTCTGTCACCGTCGACACAGGGGAAAGTGCCCAGTGGTGCTTCCTTAACCACCAACCACATGATCGTCCTCTTGAGGATGCCAGAGCCCTTTCCTGTAGCTGCTTTCAGGTTCACCGTGAGGAGGAGGGCAGACAACTCTCCTGGTGGCTCAGTCTTTGGTAGAGCAGAAGGGAATCATTGTTTATGAGATGCCACGGGATGGGTTCCTCTCTTCCACCAACAGGGCTACACCACCAACACTGACCCTGGAATGCCCGGTGGACAGAACCTAGTGACCTTTCCTTTAGAGAACAATGAGGCCTGAGCCTTCTGAGGACTCTTATTGGTGGAGAGATGAGAAGCTCCTCTCCCCAGAGCGATAGGCTGGGTGCCACGGCTGACCTTTTATGGAGTCCCAAAAGGAGGACCTGAGCCTCTCTGGCAGTAAGTGTACCACCTCTAGACCCTGCCCCCCACTTTGTACCCTTGGACATGGGGACAAATGGTTAGGGGAACTCTTTTGAATGGATGGAGGAGTGGTGGTTTCTTGGAGTGCTAAGGAATTAGGTGACAATCTTTTTAGAAACGTAAGGAGCCCTGGAAGGCTGACTTGAGTTCTCACCACTTGCAGACCTAATGTTTCTTTTCTGTAAACAGCTGAGATGATCCCTTAAGCAATCTGAAAGTCTTGTATTGAGCAAGAAAATGAGGAGGGAGGGGAGAAACTGAGAGACTAGGCAGAGTGACTGGTGATGAGGTCAAGGAGGGGAGTGAGAAACAGCTCAGGCCTTCAGGAGCAAAAGCCAGCTAGCCTCTTCCTTTCTCACTGCCTTAGTGTGGATCTCCTTGTGTGTTGGATTCCTGGGGCTGTGTTCCACGCTCATAGGCAGCTGCATCCTCTTTCTGCACTGGAAGAAGAACTTGCAGAGAGAAGAACGTGCCCAGCAGTGGGTGGAGGTGATGAGAGCTGCCTTGTTCACCTACAGCCCCCTATTGTACTGGATAAACAAGCAGCGGCAGCAAGGCATGAATACAGCCATTAACACAGGCCCTCCCCCTGCTGTCACCAAGACAGAGATGGAAGTTCAGAATCCAGATACTCTGTGGGAGTTGGATATCTCTGAAGGCAAGAACTATGCTGTACAAGACGGCAGCCCCGGGGGTGAAACCTCTGGTCCTTTGCCGCATGTTCTGGCGGTCCCCAAACAGCCCCTCTCTTCAACAGTGCCACAGCCTCAGACAGACTCCCCACTCCCACTTCCCATCTTCCAGGAGGTGCCCTTTGCCCTGTCCCTCTGCCACCTTCCTCCCATGCTGAACCACTCTGTCTCCTATCCACTGGCCAACTGCCCTGAAAGGAATGTTCATTTCTATTCCCTCCCAACACTGGCCCATGGAACAAACTGCTTCAATGCCAAGCCTTTTGCTTTAGAACTGTAGTTTCCTCTCATTGAGGCTGGGAGCTGCAGGTACCAAAGGCTCCCTGTGGTAGAAAACGAGAGATAATCTCAAGGAGTTGGTATTGACAAGGAGGTCAGAGCCATCTGGACACTGCATCACGAAAGATTAAAAAAAAAAAAAAGTTCAAGTTTCTCGTCCGTCTCATTTGCTCCTAGGAAGGCAATGTCTTTTGCATTTGACTGTGCCGCTTTGTAAGTCAAGCTAGTCCTGAGTTTCACCACTGCATATGGGAACTGGAGGTTATCATTTGGGAGACACTGAACCAATACTTGTGACTGGACTTACTATCCTTCCATGAAGTATTTAAGCCTGAATGAGTGCCAGGCTCCAACCTACGTCTCCAGGCACTGTTGTTCAGGAGGATGGGAAGGACAGCTGCCACAAGAGGATAGCTGTTGAGGGCTATGGTGGCCCACACTGGCTATGTCATTTGCCTAACAAATGCCACTACAGTGGACTGGACTGTTATTTGCCATGTATTGATGCTTAGCTGGCTCTCTTTGTCCTTTATTCCTAATATTCCCAAGAACAATGGCAAATGGCAGTTGTGATCCTCCTGTTAAGATGCAGACTTGGGTTTTCAGGGCATATGCCTTCATACAGCTGGCTCTCCAGTTCACATTTTCCTGGCATCTAACTTCTAATATTTCTATCATACTCCATAGCGTCTTTATTTAACATTGTCTTGCTAGACAATGGCCACAAGCACTGATGTGTGAGGGTCGTCATTAACTTGACTGGCCAGAGCATCTTCTAGAATTACACTAGATAGTAATTTACCTCTAGATAGTCTGTATCTTGTCCTTTCCTTCTTGCTTTTCTCCCATCTTCTTTGAGGCTGGTATTCCAGGCTGGCTTGGAACTTGTGTATGTCAGGTTGCTCTTTAATTCCCGATCCTCCTGTTCTCAGTCTTCTGATTACAGGTTTGTGTCCCTATACTTGGCTTTATTGCTTATATCTTTTTTTTTAATTTTATGTATATGGATGTTTTGGCTTCATGTACATCTGTGCTTGTGGAAGCCAGAAGACAGCATCAGATCCCCTGGAACTGGAGTTATAGACAATTTTGAGCCTTTATGTTGTTGCTGGGAGCTGAGTCTGGGTCCTCTGGAAAAGCAATAGTGCTCTTAATCATTGAGTCATTTCTCCAGCATTGTTTATATTTTGCCTAAAGATATACATGGCTCCTCAAAGATTAAGAACCATTACTTGGGAAGGTTAATATCTCCTGAAAAATTGTCATTAAAGTACTCACAAAGACCAACACTACCTATTTGGCCCCAGTTTTAAAAGGACTGGCTCAGCCACAAAACAGAAATTTCTTTTTCATATCCCTTCTTCCCCCAGTGCTGGGACTGAACACAGTGCTTTGTACATGCGTGACAA